CCCCACCTGGGAAATCAAGAATTGCAGGCTTGTCACCTTTCAGCAATTCTTACTGACGATAGAGTTCCATGAATTTACATTAGTCATTATTGTTTTTCTTCATTTGATGTTGTCCAGGTACCAAATTGGCCTGCGCTATACCGGTGGTGCTCGTATGTTGTTAATGCTTTCGCTAAAATTTGGTATCATCCCCATTTCCGTCCCAGTTGGTGTTCGAGATTTTGACATAGATGGTGAATTATGGGTCAAGTTGCGGCTTATTCCAACTGAACCTTGGGTAGGTGCTGCTTCATGGGCATTTGTTTCACTGCCAAAGATCAAATTTGAGTTGTTACCGTTCCGCTTATTCAATTTAATGGGTATGTCCTAATTTCTTGACTATGATAATGAATTGCAATTTATAGCTAGTAGTTGCAAGGATGTCATAGGGAGGTTTGACAGGGAAGCATGAAAAGTGGTTTACTTTTGTTCTTCTTTAGTTTATCTATATGTTTTTAGCAGGCATGCTTGTGGAGGTTCATACGTTTTTTGAGGATAGTTTTCGTTTGCATTAAAATTTGACCTTTGGATGCTGATGCACGTTTATCTTTTTCTTTCCGTGTTTTGGCTGCACGCTTGGGACAACACCAGCTATTCCTGTTCTCTCCATGTAAGTAGATTAATCCTTACTGTTGAATAATTGGTATATAAGTTGGTCAGTTCAAGGCAGAATAGAGACATTTTTTGTTGTAAAAAAATTGATTCTATGACAGAAAGTTGTGTATTGATAATCAATTCATGAACTATACGTGCTAATGAGAGTCTGAATTCGTTATCCATAATACTTGTACTAGAAAAGAAGATTGGTACTATTGAAGCCTTTTGTTTCGAGGATCGCCTTATGAAGTAGTGCCCAAGCGTACTTAAAAAAAAATCTGATCTTTTGATCAGAATCAGTTTTCTGAATGTCATAATTTTGTTGTGGTGTTTTACATCTTAATTTGCTCATACAGCTGATAATTTTAACGGAGTGTTCTAGTCGGGCTTGATTTCCCCCCTTCTATTTGTCCTCTGACCCTTGCTTACTATGTTTGGATAGGTTTTTGACAAAACTTCTCACTGAGGATTTACCTAAATTATTTGTACGTCCGAAGAAGATATTTCTAGATTTCCAAAGCGGAAAAACAGTTGGACCAGTCCCATACGAGGTTAAATCAGGAGATATGCAGAATAAAGATTTTGTTGGAGAACTGTCAGTAACCCTTGTAGATGCTCGAAAGCTTTCTTATGTCTTTTATGGTAATGAATATCATTCCTTTCTATATTATCCTTTCTTGAAAACCATGTTTTGTTAATTACTGAATTTCTCATGCTTAGCTATCAAGTATTTGTGGTCCTTATCAACGTTGTTGTGGTACTCCCACCTTGTTTTCAGAAACGTAGCATCTGATTAAACTGTCGAAAGCAACTATTTATTCATATAGATTTATGATTCTACATTTTACTCATCGATCCGATCCCTATTTTTCTCAGGAAAAACAGACCCATACGTCACTTTAACCTTGGGTGATCAAATAATACGTAGCAAAAAGAACAGCCAAACCACTGTAATCGGGCCACCTGGTGAGCCAATCTGGAATCAGGTGAAGCTCATTTCTGATTATCCTTTGTTTTACCAGAGAGGGTGTTCCATGAACAATAGTCGTTTGTGTGTTCCTTGGTTATTTTCGGGTTCTTTTTAAGTCTTCAATCTCTTTTATGTACTCACGTGTATTGGTATTCGGGATTTCAGGATTTTCATATGCTTGTTGCAAACCCTAGGAAACAGAAATTGTATATTCAAGTGAAAGACTCTCTTGGATTTGCAGATTTGACTATTGGTAATGCAGAGGTAACTTATCTTATATCTTTCTTTGTAACTGTGCAAACTAAGTTGAGGAAACTAAAACTGCTGGCCTGACTATATTTGCCAAGGCTTTTTCTTAAATCAATCATTTTGGTCATTTTTAAAGTTGGTTTAGTCTTATTTAAATCCCAAAACTTGGCTGGCTATTACTCTAATTTGAATTTGTGTTTTCACTTTTCTATAATTTGGGGTTTGGACACCTCTGAATAGCTCTTGGCACTCTGCTCTTAGATAGAACTGGTAAGGTTCTTCGCTTTGCATCGAATTAAACCACATGCTCCACCGCTTGTGTAGGCCCCCGTTAATTTCTTTGAGTTTCATTCTTGCCAACGTACTCCCCAAGTGGGATATTAACGCGTTAGCTACTGCACGGGTCAATACGCATAACGTCTAGTATCCATTATTTACGGCTAGGACTACTGGGGTATCTAGTCCCATTCGCTCCCCCGTCGAGCAGAGTGCTTTCTCTGTTGGGATGGAGTGTTTACTGATGAAAATTATCTTGCGAAATTCTTGTAGAATGTTGTACAAATGAACAAATAACATTGGATGGTCTATTTGTTTTGCATGGTTTTGGGAATCTTGTTAGAAAGAGAACAGTATGTGGAATTGGTACATGGATGGATGCAAGTTTAATAAAATTTTGGTTTTGTTTTTGCGTATTCTCATACAGGTTGATCTTGGATCTCTTCAAGACACTGTACCAACGGACAGAATTGTTGTTTTGAGGGGAGGTTGGGGACTCTTTAGAAACAGGTCTTCTGGAGAAATACTGCTGAGATTGACATACAAAGCATATGTTGAGGACGAAGAGGACGATAAGGCTGCATCAGACGACGAGTTTTCTGATTCTGATGAACCTGAACCAAATGGTGCTTATGAGGGTGAAACGAATGCTGCAAAAGAACATGGTAAGGAACCATTTATGGACGTTCTGGCAGCTTTGATAGTGAGTGAAGAATTTCAGGGAATAGTGGCATCAGATTTGTTGAATTCTAAACTTCAGAATGATGCCACTTCTACTAGCATGGGCACAACACGGTCGAGATCTGGTGATGCTGATAGTGACACCAAACCGACAGTTTCAGGCGTTAAAACTGGACGTTTTGCTGGTAACTTTGTTGTTTAGATATCCATTTTGTTTATATATTTGATGTGATGCTAAATTTGGATGGTGGTGAAGTGTTCTAATCCGTATAAAACTGCAGAATCGGCACTGTTTTGGTTTGCTGTGATAACGAGTATATCAGTGCTTATTGCTATCAACATTGGTGGTTCGAGTTTCTTCAACCCCTGATGTTATATGGTTCGAGTTTCTTCAACCCATGATGTTCCATGGCTCGAGTTTCTTCAACCCATGATGTTCCATGGCTCGAGTTTTCTTCTACCCATGATGTTCCATGGTTCGAGTTTCTTCTACCCATGATCTTATATGGTTCGAGTTTCTTCTACCCATGATCTTATATGGTTCGAGTTTCTTC